CTCATCCACATATTATGGTATATCGTTACACTTACGTCTATTCTTTTGCATGCTATCTCATCTAGTTTCGTTGCTACTCCTACTTTCTATTCTTTGTGGGACTTTTGGATAATGTAAATGTTATTTATCAGATTGTAGACCGAATGATTCCTTAAGCTATGTAGCGCTTCCATTTCCATAAGATATCCCAGAGTGGTTGCTTGCCGTCATCAGATGGACTGCAAGGGGGGAAATAATAACGTTAATGCGCTTGTCCAGCAATGGATACATTTTCGTTTTAGTTCTCTTAACGTTCACTAGGTAAGGCCCATAGTAGTATCTTCAGATGTAGTGTGCTTGTTTTTTATGAAATGTTTTAGCTACAATAAAGATCTCTGAACAACAACGTTTTTATCTGTGTAGTTTCCTCCTATTGGTGGATTTATAATTAGCAAATTTGTTAAACCTGGTCTTTTGTTCCCACCTATCGTTTCGGTCTTGTTTAATTACACTATATGTTATCATTAAAGTCAGAACATTTTCATAAATTGATACAATCTGACATTACATTTCAGTCACTGATTGGTCTTCTTAGCCCTCAAATTATTCACCTCCTTATATGGCTTTTTCGTTTATATTGTATTAATTTGTCAATGTTTTATCACGAATACCAGTCATCTGTGTTCCAAATTACATACCTCTTTTCTGCCCTCCATGGCACCACCTGCCGTGTGCACACATTTGTGCAACTTATGTTGCATCTCGGCAAGAAAAGGATTCCATGCCACTTGTTTGCCATTATCTGTCAACGATCTGTCATCAATAATCCATTTATAGCCAGGTTTGAACTTTGGTCTGTTTGTTTTTGTTCCTGTGAGGTTTATGTTTTAGTTCTGTGCAGCACCAAATCAATTACTTTGTATCAGGTGCAGCTTCCGCTCTCGTTGTGAAATATTTCTCATTTATGGGTGTTACTTTTTAAATAGTGCTCACGAAGTACTCAGTCGTGGATCAAGGTTAGGTGGTGCTGATCGTCGCGTATTCTCACTTGTGTCGATTTTCTACACCTTCGTGTGTATGTGCGAGACCGGGAAAGAGAACAATTGAGGTTACATTAGATACCATCGTATTTTAGGTATTTTGTTCAAAGCATCGTTATCTAGGGCGCTGTAGTTTGCATTACTAAGCATCACCTCTGTTTGAATTAAAATGGAACAGTATTAAACGGATAGCAATTATATAAAAATGGGAATTTGCTAGCTTTATATAGGGCCTCATTTTTTCGTTGAAAACTAATCAAATAGTTTGGAGTTAAAAGATTTCTCCACAATTTTAATTGGTTTGAATTCCTTTTTTACTCATTTTTCGATTGGTGACGCTTATAGTTGGCTTCTAAAACACTATAAAAATGTCCATGTGTTTTTTACAGAATGTATAATAGATTTTTAAAGGGTTTGGAGCACTTTTCTACTGCAAAAATGCGAGAACTCTAACAGCCACTTTTCTTATGTAACGTAAATACATAGCGATCCAGCTTTAGGTGTGACTTGTTGCTATATTCCAGGCTTAACTGTAGCTATTCAAGTTGCCTGATCGAAATATGAAAGTGGGCCGCGAAAAACCGAGGTTTCAGTTGCTGCAAGGGCTTGTGTAATTGCCTTCTTTGTAATCCCGACTGATTGATTTCTCCCTTTTTAACCCCAGCTTTGTCCACTTATCTCCCCCTGTCTCCATAGGTTTGTGCTGTAAGTTCCTCCACACGTCTACTCTTCGCACCGTATTCCATTCTTATACCAGAATCCTGCAATCTACGCTTTTAAAATTGATTGCAAATGAGTTCAAGTTTTGGTATTGCTACCAGAAAACATTCGCCATGATTCGCTGACCTCCATCCACCTACGCTAAATTTAAAGCTTAGGCTAGCCTTGGGTCATTGTAGAATTCCTTCATCTATGTGCTCATACCCTTGATTTTTATTGATATTTTGTACCTCAATAAAAGTTGTGTATGGGAGAATTTTGCGTTACTGAAATTGTCCATGCTGATGTGCTATGCACCCAATTTCCTCAGCTCTCCGCCACCCATATTGTAGGCAAGAACAGATTCAACCATATGCATACTTGGCTATCTTCACTTCACCTATAGCATTGTTTCTATTGTACTGAGTTTCTTTTCCTGTCAGATCGGTAGTCAGTGCATAATTGTAAAAACAATCAGCTTAAAACTCACTAATTTGATTTTTATGTGATTACATTGATTATCAAGCAGTTCGGTATTCGTCATTGGTTATTTATTTCACCGTCAAACTTTTTTTTAATGGTTCTATGGTATTTTTAGCCTAAAACACTTGCTGATTTTATTTTACCTGATTATTAAACTTGAATCTTATTTGTCTGCTTTACCATTTCATGTTTTTCTTGCTTGTGTAGCGGAGTACACGATAGTGGCTCGACGGGTGAAACAGTTGTTTCACGAATACAATATCCACTGTACCACCATCCAACCAGAATTTGAAGATGTGAGTGTATTTATGTATTTCTATAGTAGTCGTAACCTTATCAGACTATTCTATTACCGCCGTCTGTTGCCATGTTACAGCGTGTAATTTGTGCCGAATTTGTCTTTTCTTGAGAAATTTTCTTGTTTGAGCCTTCTACCTTCAAAAGAGTGTTTATTTTTGCGTGTTATGGACTCTTTTTCAAATGCAATATTTTTTATACTGTAAAGTGATTAGTGCTTGTGTTTCTGCTCGCGTTTTCCCTTCCTCCCCTTCCCTCTCCTTCATCCCCCGAATCAAATATATCCTGTACACTCTTGCATTGATTTGCATCCGTCTTAATGCCTTTCCCCTGCACACCTTCAGAATATAGAGCAAAATCCCGAGACCTGTCTCTACGACTGTGGACCGAATCAGAAATGCTGCTCCGACTCCTGCTGCCCACAGCTGCCCGATGTGGGTGCCTCAGGGAATGATGCTCACGCCAATGTCAACACCTCACCTGTGCCTGTCCTCCTCCAGACCTCCAAAAACGATGTCCCTGTCTTCACCACTACCAATCTCGCAAATGCGGTTGCTGATAGCACACAGAAAACCAGTCCCATTGAGTTGAACCGGCTCCAGGCACAGAACGAGCCCTCTGTTCACACATCCACTAAAAACAACTACTTTTAGCACATTTACTGCCTCTCCCGCCTTCTCCCTTCCACACTCCACCAGTTTCTGGATGTCTTCCCTACTACTTACCCATTTCGGGGATATTTTCACTTGAGCAGATGTTCTTTCTTAATAATGTGCAATCGCCGCGTTTCCAGGTCCTTGTCACCCTTCCAATCCGTGCGAATAGAAACCTCTATATTAGCTCAACCTTCGCCCAATTTCCTCGCTGCGTTTACTTTTACTCCAACCTCACTCCCTTACTCATTTGTGTATTTGTATACTTCTCCTTACTCTCTTTGCTCTTTCTCGCGCTTCTCCTTTCTACCCTTTTTTTCTGCACGATAACCTTCAGAAACTAAATTACTATACATTTGTGGCACGGTTTCAGACATGTTCGCAGAGCCTGCAAGTAGACTTAAGTAATTTGTGCGATGCGGATTTTATGGAGCGGGGATTTAGGGACAAGTCCCAATCTTGGGTTCGCGCACATCAACCTAGGATGGTATTAATCCTACATAGGGAGCAGTCGGGAGAAGTTTACTAATGTTATTTGTGTGAAGAGACGGAATCATCGTAAGTGAGTCCTTTACTTGTCGCAGACGGGTTAACTCTTCAAGCCACTTGCTGTGTCCTCCAGAGGGTGTTATTTCAATGTTTATTTCTAAACTTCGTTTATTTTGGTCTTTATGATAAGTCAATGGGAATCTGTTTAGCATGCTTTAAGCTCTAACAGCTTGTTGTAGATGGTATTGTTTTGGGGGCTGCCATAAAATTTTAATCTTTTTTTTCCAATTTGGCGACTGGTTCCCGAATCAAGCTGCAGTGTCTTGTAAATCTGTCCATCCAAAAAGGACGGTAAATTAGTTACGTGAAATTACTGGCTACTTTATATACCATATTTTGAGTACTAAGTTGTTACAGCCTGTCCTGTCTTGATGCATTTGATGTGATAGTACTTTGGAGTGGCGATCAGGATTTTGAATCACCTGTACGCGTAATTGACCGCATTAATTGTAGTGTTATTGCCACCTACGAGCCTAAGTTTCCAATGCTCTTCTGTCGCTTCGCACACAAAGTAGCGAATTTGTCGTTTCCCAAAGAGTAATTAAAGTGGCATCCTGGAGAGATAATTCATGAAGCCTCAAGTTCAATGTTACTTAGATCCCCAGTACTGTAAAATATGGTAGTCGAATCTCGGTTTGCGGTGTGGGCCAGAGTTCCTGTCATAACAGTGAGCTTGAGGACTCAGATGACTTGCAGCTTGCTGGGTGTTGGTATGTATTTTGACTCTGGTAATTCAAATCCAGTGAAGTACACTTGTTAACAAGAATTATTTATGATTTTTAGTTCAACTTCTCTTATAGATCAGTGACTATGTGGTACGATTTGAGAGTTTAAAAATTCTTTTAAACTTCTAAAATGGATAAGTTACCATTACCCAAATCACGCATTTTACCTCATGGCATGAGACATTTTGAAATTAGCCAACTTTTTTAAACATTACACAACCTCCTATTTCTGCACAAATTTGATACTAATGGTCTGCAAAAATCAGTATCGTAAATGAACCAGTGGATCACTTCATAATGAGGTTTAGTGGCTTTAAAATGGACCACTGAGCACTCTTGTATTAATAAAAGCTGTTTCTTTCATTTAGCTTGCGACGGTACAAGAGCTACCGGAAGAGTGCCTTATTAACTGCGGTCTGGGTCGCAGTGTAGATTGTAGACGACGCTGTTGCCCAAGCGTTGGCAGAAAGGTAAAGAAGACGAATTCCACTCTCAGAACTCTGGACGAAAGCACTGCATCGGACGCGACGTCTTTCAAAGACTATGATGATCAGACTCCCGTCTAACTAGACAAACTATTTTCTTTGATACTACGTTTGGCGTTTAATTCCTCCAAACCTTTTATGTACCCAATTATGTTCCATTGCCCAAAATCACCCAAACTTTCATTTTTAATTTGCATGCTATTCCGTTCTTGGTGCCTGTCGATCATGATGAATTGTGCTTGAATTTTAATATTTTTTAAAATATTTGCACTTCGAGTTTGCACTGAATCTAAAATCGTAAACAAACCTAGGTCCAAAAACACCACGTATCTTACGTAACCTGGTCCGTACCATGAACCTTATTTGGAGTAAACAGTAAAGAGGTTCATTTAGCATATTTCCAAGGCAGTATGACGAAGAGCCAGTCTTATACGCACTTAAGTACCGTAGTGACCCCGAGGATGAATGGATGAATTGGGGGTGACTGGTCGGATTTGAAGCGGTAGGATGTTTAAGGGAGGATACACGACAATTTGCTCTAAATTTTCGACTTAATGGAGCTTTTGTGAGGCACACATCTGTATTTTTATATTCGTTGATTATATCAGTGACTGGAAGCTAAAAGTAATACGTAAACTCCGCGAAAATTCAGTTTGGAAACCAGTCACAAGCTGTAATTTAAGCGGATGTGTTCAGTCAAGTAGCGGTGGCTTGCTAAAATCTTATTCGAAAAGCAAATGAATTCAATAGGATAAACTCAGAAGGCTTTAACAGATCATACAAGCATAATTTCACGTTAGAGGCTGAGATTAATTTCATTCATCCACTAGTTGGTGCAGCCATCCAGAAGCGTCGTGGTACCACTAGTATTATAGCATATTTTGATGGAAATCTGTGCTCTAATATTTCTTCTAATGGTACGGATCTTCTTCCATGTATTTATACGAGTTTAGCATTTAGTATCTTGCTTTAAGGGCTATTTGATGTCATTTTCTTGAAGTAGTGGTTTGATATTTTTGATTCCTATACAGCACGCACGTAATGATTAAGACCATTTGGTTTCAAATTAATATTCACCAAAATTACTACTTTACTACGCCCTTATCGCAATGGCTATCGTAGTTCAAAGCGCAAAGATGAAAGCTATTGACGCAAATGTCACATTTGGTCATTTAACAAGAAATCACAAGTAAAATACTACGGTGGCTATTACTGGACATGGTGAGCAACCTCCTATCACAATGAAAGACTCGAAGTGGCAACAATGTACGGATAAAAGCGCTACCAGAAGCGTTTAGGTTCGTCACATTCTGCCGGTCAAGGATCGCTTCTTTATGCATTAAACTGTTAAACGTTTAATGATGCGCTTTTTAAATTTACCCAATTCCAGAACCTCGAATAAAATTTGCGAGAATTTATTGGTTTTTTGACGGTACCGAATGTACTTTGCCGCACTTCAACAATGACAAATTGTCACTTCATGTCCAAAAAGGCAACCCAAGTTACGTAACACCCTACTAAATGAATGCCGAACAAGCTTTCGGAGAGGAGTTAATATTGAGTTTAATTCCAAGTAAAAGCACTGATGACTAGTTATGCTTCGGATTCGAGTGTGTCTTCAATGATTTCAAATATTTGGAATAGATGTGTTTTAGCTGGAGTGGCTGCTGCTTTGTAAATTGGAATTTGCACTATCCCTTTGCCTTCGTATTCACAAAATTGTATTGTGCTTTTCAGCAGCAAAATTTGTTAATTGTGCTTGTAAATCTATGCCCAAAACTTCACACGTTTTCGATGTCCAGAGGATTACATAGTGACACAAAGCAACTCCTTCACACGAATCAATCACCAAAACTGCTGATGATGAATCGTCCTGTCTGTCAAGTAGGATGCACAATTTTGTGGTATTTGATCGCAAATCAAATCATGCATCTGCATTGAGCATGCCTGAAGAAGAATGTATTTGCTACGTTAAGTGGTAACCTGTATTTGAAGCTTCTCCATTCCTACCCTGTTTTGCAATCATCAAAAGTGATGTATTTTGAAACGACAATCTGGGTCATCTAGGCGCAGTGTAAATAAAACAGTCTTACCCATGATGGGGTCCATCAATCGAAATGAGAGCTTCTGACGTCATGGTAAACGCCAACTAACGGCTTTTACTTGTTACTAAGCCTGTCGGGAGGGAAAATTTCTCGCACATCCGAGGAACAAAAAGCAGTGTAAGAATCGGAAGCATTGCTTCCTGTCAGATTAGAAGTGTATTATGTTGAAACTGTTTACGTCCCTTCCAATTAGCTGATCCGTTGTGAAAAGCAGATTGTGCGAGCTTACACCCCTCGCATACGCGAAAGCAATTATTCAGACTTGTCACCTCCGTCCATTGAACTTACAAATATCGCCCTTGATTTTTCCCGCACCGCATTACTCTAATCAGGTAAAATTAATTATGATTAGGCAAACAAGTAGCGTCTCATTCATTATATCACCCCTTCTTCATACAAGCTCAGGTTGTGCTCAAAACGCTGAACACTTTGGAATCTGCAAATGAAGCAGTTAATTTCGAGCGAGAACCACCGCCACTTTCGGAATAGGAAACTCTGGATTCGTAGCGTCTGATATTCCCGCCTGTAAAAAGGAAATCTCAAGCATAACTTAACTCAAACATTTACCCTGATAGGGAAGCACCTTCGCTCCCTCTGAATTTCATATTAGCGTCCTTAAGAAAAGCACTTAAAGGGAACGTAACCTCATGTAGAGTACCCGCAGTGATGTGGATAAGTGCGAAGCATTACCGTAGTCGACAGTAAATGTTCTTAAAGATAAAATATAACCAAAACTAGGGGAAAAACAAGCTTTAAAAACTTAATGGCCCCAATCAAAAAGATAAAAACTTTCAAAGCATGACGCAGATACATATTAAAGTTGCAAAAGCTGTACAAAATTTTGGCAAACAATTCAGTCAGGTGTAGATTTGGAAGCCTGCTTCTGCGCCTTTTTCATTGCTGATTTGAATTTACGTTTGATGTGTTCAAAACATGCACGAAGGCAGTATAAGCCATTTCGGAGAATAGTCACTGCCATTTCGTCTATGAAAGAAAAGTTGTGACAAATAGGTAAAAACATTCCCAGTAAATAATGAGGCGCTGCGAACAGGCAAATACCTCGGCTCTGAATTTCGAAAGTTATCGAGTCCTCCAACGGATGAGGCTGGCAGTATCCACAAAGCTTCACTGCCTCACTAAAAGAGTGAAAAGTGCGAACACAGTCGAAGGATGGTGTGGCGAAAAACGTCTTCGCATTTGCTGTTTTAACATTTAAGTTGTGGCTATTGGACAGGCCAGCTGGATTAGACCCGAAATACAGACAAAAAATGACTTGTGATTAAATGTATGACAATTTTCTCCATACCACCTAAAATAAACTTACAATCAGTGTCGACAAATGGCTGTTCCCACAGGAATTCAGGGGAAAAGGACGATAATCCATTATCTAACTTACCCAAGGTTTATCAACTACAGTTACGTAAAACCATTCACTAAATTCGAAAATATCTGTTAGCATCATGAAACGTGCTGATTTTGAGTAAATAACTCGACATAATGGTGTCCATGTTCTACACCGTTGAAAAACACTTCATCTGTCAAATAACGTTTCTCTACGCAGAAGCATGTGCGTGACGACCGGAGTTGGACACACCCGGCACAGCCTAGGACTGGCACAAATCGAACCAAGCTCTGGCTGGCCTCAAAATAAATGGTATCGGAAAATAACTGGCTAGAACAAATAAAACTAGGCATAATTTGAAGCATGGCGCAGCAGAGCATCCCATTGCATTCTGTGCGCATAACAGAATCTGCTGCAATGTTGCGGGATAACATTTTAACGTGATTGTTTTCTGTAAAATGACCCTGAATAAACTATTCAGCTACTTCAATTACCTACGGAGAATGCAGTAGCGAAGAGGAGCCCCGAGAGTGTGATCTTCCCCCGTGAAACGGAAGGTCGCCCTGCGCAAATCATTCGAGACAAAAGCGACATCTAGGCCGACTGCGCGCCCATTTAGTGAAGTTTTCGCGGCTTCCTCACCCTGTCGAACGGAAAAAGCAGGCTGCTCACCGCATCATTCATGGTCAGAACATTAAATAAGCGCAACACGACACTTACGAGAGCAGAATCTTATGAATAAATATTCGAACATGTCATGAGCATAAAGGCCATATTTTTTAAGATTTGCTTCCGAAAAAGTGAAACAGTGGCATTTCAGATGTGAATACTTAGCGTGAAAGTAGGGTTTTTAATGCCCCCAATTTCAAGATAAACGCAATGAAAGCCCAAACTGAGGCTTGAAATGCTAAGCCTCCATACTTATCTACATAAAAAGTAAGATAATGTACGGGTAATTCTCCCCCGCCAATCTCCACATTCGGATCACTCAGTGGACTAGCAGCAAAGCCCGGCTTTCCCACAATGGTAAGATAGTGCGCACATTTCGAAAGCATCACATCGATGGCAGATTTGACAAGCGTATCTGGTGGACGATAACCGGGAGCAATGCTTTCCACTGTAAAAATGAAGTGGCGTGGATTGAGGAAGACGTGCACTATGCTGGCCAAGTCCGGATGTCTTAAGTGCTCTCTAGATCCATTGTCCAACCGTGCGTCCGCCACACTTGCTACTTGTGTTCGAGGATCCACCTGAAAATCATTTAAAATATTGGTTCGTGGATTTCCAGATTACAATTACCCTTCAAAAAAAACAAGGCATGACTGTGTGCAGTGACAAAATAATAAGCAATAATGCACTCTTACATCAATAACTCCTTTAGCAAAACTTCTCTGCAACTTTTTTGCAAGATCACCACGCACTACTCCATTAATTTCGATCGACGGCAAAAGCTTGTAGAAGGCGGCCGAAACGGGAGAAAACTTGGCGTGGTCACGACCCACACCTTTAACGGCTAGACATCGGGCCATTATTTCGTCACCAGGTCCCAATTTATTGAGCAGAACTTTTCTACTAACAGGAGCAGGATAACTTGCACCCTCATTTTTAAAGGCATCTTCTTGGCCAGGTAACGGTACCCAAGTGAGGCTCGAACTAAAATTTGACTTTATGCACAGTCCAGAAACAAAATTCAAACACACTTAAGAATATCGAGCATTATGATAGGGACACAAAAAAATAAGCATGCATGTTCAACCTCACACATGACCTACCTGTACAGAGGGAAAGATTGAAAGCTTTCCTTGGGTTGGCTATCGCTATTTCCTTCGGAGGAGGGTCTTGCAGCCTTTACGTTCAAATCGAATATCAGATGACTATTCGGATCGAATCCACTTAGGTCGTCGGTATCAGGCAAATCAGTTGAGCAAAAACTCATTTTATCAGGGTCCACATTTAACGGTACTAAGCCTAAGCGGTGACAGAATGTCTCGTCCGCAATAACAGACGTATTTTGATATAAATACACCCGATCGATGGCGAATGAAGGCACCTCAGAGACAAGAATCCGGCGAATGGAATTAGCAAACGTGCAATCAATACTAATCATATCAAACTCAATAGTCTCTGGAGTAAATGATGTGACGACGACTTGGAACTCGCTGATGAAAATATCGACATCCCATTTTTGTGGGGCAGAAGGGATAAACGAAAGACCATGCTGTTTTACAGCAATAGAAGGGCCAAATTTGTCAGTCATGCCGAATACAATGCACGATAGCTAAACGCAGCAACCGCACGGAGAAGCATGGAAATTAGGCAGGTACTTTAAGATCAGATAAAATAAAATCCCTTGGCATCAGAATAATGAATTGTTTGCTATTTTCTTTTGTCGCCAGAAATTTAGACCTAGGAATCTGACAAGTATGCTTAAAAAGTGTAGTCAAATGCATGCATTAAACTTTATGAAACAAGTTTACTTAGGCCTAGTTTTAAATATTTTACGGATAAGCCTAATCTACTTCCTTGCAAATGAATTCTATTTCGCAGAATGATCTCTTTGAACTAAAACCTTTCCTTTAAAAATTGGATTCTCTTACCTTGGTCTTTAGTTTCTGTTTGATATTTTATTGCCAATAATTTGTAAGAATTGGCTCTTAGCTATCATCCTCCATATTTCGCGTAGTAACCCGTTATAGCAACCTATTATTTTGGGAGTATGCTCTTAGTATCACACAAATTAATGCAGTATTTTCACTGGGTTCTGTTTATTCCTATCACGGTGACCTTACGAATTTAAAACTAGTGTGCGGATGCCTTCTGGGATGACGGGTGATCTATGTACCGTTGCTCTACAGGGTCCATTGAGTTTTGCATGGTCATCTTCGCAGAAGATTACCGTTTTTCAAAGTTCTCTAGGATCTAGCCTTGATGCTACATTGTATGAAGTTCAGCCTTTTGCATCAGCCAAAAAGAACGCGTTTATGCTAAGGCTTATTCGAGCATCTTATGGTTGGTTTTTGCTTTCTTCTTCACATTCAGATATTTTTCGAGTCTCTCAAGTGTGCAAAGATCCACCAGAGTAGGTCTCTTAAACATGCATATCTTCAGTCTTTTGCGCTTGAGCCATCAATATCGAGCGTTACTAGCTATGTGTTACCAGGAGATCTATGGATTTCTCAGTTAATTGCTTCTGTGTGGTTGACTTATTAATTAGGTGTTTGTGATAATCTGCCAGCTGAAAAACTTGTGTCGCTGACTGCCGATGGAGATCTTGTTAAAACCTTCGAATTATTATGGCATTTATCTGAGGTCGTAATTTTGCAGGTATGGGTTCCCTTGTCTTTATTATCTTTGTTTTCTCTATGTGTGTATCTGTGTACCCGCTCCAATTCCTTAAGAGTCTCACTCCAGGCAAGCTTACCTCAGCCTTATCTGACTGGTACTTTGTCCAATCTCAAGAAGCCATCAACGTGGCTCGCAATCTACTTGAAAAATCCCACTCTAAAGGAGGTTTACTTAAACTCACTAATGATTCTGAGCGGGTATTTTGGTCAACTGCCTTGTCATTAACATCACAAGTGCGGCCAATGGAAGTGTCCGCTTTGTTGGCGTCACATCATAAGGCCAACTCTGGCCTTTTCCGGGATATTCGTCAGCTTTTGGTCTCAATGCCGCTTGAGGACTTAAATTCCATTGTTGTGGACGGTATGTTGTGTTTCTTGCGCTTACGTTATCCTCTAACTTTAGCAACCTGGCAGAAGGGAGGTTGTTTTGAGAAAGCGTGGCATCACTGGCAAAGTGTCTGTAATGTTCGTCTGATAGAGGAGACGCGAAATAATTCACGATCAGATGACATCGATACGGAATACCTCATTCTAATTCTTTCGATTTTGGCCGGTCGTAATGACTGTTGGAACGATCCGCGAGTGGTGGACGCATGTGGAGATTGGTACTTCCAATTCGTCGGGTGGCTTTTTTACACTCATCACTTTGTGGACCATTCATCTCTTTTCGCCGTGCTAGAGCACTTTATGTCCAACTTCGAAATTGTTTTAAGCCATCATTCGGAAGCACACTCTTTCTCTACAGTAAGGCATCATATTGTATGTACAAATACAGTTTTTCTCTTCAAATTCACCATAAATTTTGTTTATAGCTAATTCTGAGTAGTTTAGTGGTAAAATAATTTCTGTTTTCAGTTTGACTTCAAATTGGCCCATTTTTCTAAGGTCACAAATAATTGGTCGTGTTTTTAATTTTTAGGTTATAGATGAGGTGATCAAGCATATATTTGCTGAAGACATTCTTTCCGTGGTGTTTACACTGAGTGAAAAATTTAATAACTGGTGGATGGTTGCCCACTTCGCCAATCTCGTGAAACATCTTCTTCCAGATTGCTTTAATGGTATCGATTCGGCTCGGTGCTCCTCAGAGCACCTCAATTTGAAACCTGAAAGTGCTGACGGCGGTAATCAAATGCTTGATTTGTTATTTCGATGCCTCAGTTTTTCTCTTATGCATCCTATTCTGGGTTTGGGGTCTTGGGCTTGTAAGTCGAATAACATTCTTGCTTTTTTATTCCTTCAACGAAGATTTGAGTGGGAAAGGGTCCAGAACGGTACATTTAGTCTCATCCATGCCTGACTTTTTCTTGATGAGATACGCAGAGAATCTGGCTGCGGATGCAAGCCTGCTTAGTGTGGCCTTGGGCTATTTGGATCACTGTACGACACTGCAACCTACTGCTCGGGCCGTCCAGGTCTCGCTTTTGCAGCGGACCAAGCCGACCACCAACCATCTCACTCAAAACGTACGCATTGATATGGTCCATTATGGTCCAATTTCTACTGTGGTTTGCATAACGACTTATGCGCCTATTCCTATGCCTCCTTAGTTGATTCAGCTGGCAAAGAAACATCAGCTTCACGGGGTCGTTGGCGAGATTGCACGTACCAAAACGCGCATGCGGTTGTCTCACTCACATCCTTCCCTCGTCACCATCAATACACCTGCCATCTGCTCAGCTCTAGGATGGGCTATAGTTGCCCAGGATGTGCAGCTGATTGCTCACATAGTCACTCGAACCCTCTCATACAGCATGTCGAATAAATGTGCTGATGTGGATCCCTGGAAGGTAGTAAAAGAGGTGGCCAGCATAGTAACATGCCTCTCCAGTGGCGAGAATCGAGGTCCAGCTTCTCAGCGAACACAACCCTGGCTCACACCGCTGGTCGTCTCTCCCGAATTTGCATTCATATCTCGATACTCTGAACTGCATTGCCAACTCAATGCCAATAACGCTGAGGTAATAACTCACACCGTGCTCGACCTCCTCTCCATGAGCGATAACAGCAATGGATTTCATGTACCGCTCAAATTTAAACTTCACCTGCTTGGACAGTTAAAGCCTCATCTAGATCCGGCGACTATGGGAAGGAAGCAAATTGAGGCGCTGGGTGCTATTGTCGCCGAGCTGAAGGCCACTCTTCGCCTGTTTGGAAGGTACGATGAAGCTGCTCAATTCCTGCTGATGAGTTTGAGCACACTTTTGGTTCAGACTAGGGCTGCGGCAATCTTACGAGGTGGTAGCTGTCCCAGTGAATCCCATACGCTCTCGCAACTGCCAAGCGAGTATGGAGCATCAGACGTCGGAGTGTGAAATTGAATGTTTTTTAACTATTTTTAATGGAAGGATTCGTAATAAAGTCTGCCACGAAAGAGGCGGTTTACATTGAAGTAGTTAGACTGTAAGGTGGGGTGGGACCTCTTTCCTAGGGGAGTTTGGATGCGCGAGTGGGGTTTGGTGGGGCCGTTTGGGTATTTGGGGTTTTGCTGTCGTGGAGTGTTGGGAGTGTTCACCTCCAAGCTGGTCTAAGTGTCTGCAACGCTTTAATTATTTGCTTGCCTGTCCTGGTGGTAGACCGGTTGGGGCTCCTCCAAGCCGACTGGCCTCCTGCCAGCGGCCCTAAGCCCTGTCGTACTGGTTTCAAGGTGCAGATACGCAGTTTAACCTGTTCTAGAAGTTATGTCAAAACATGAAGTGGATTAATCTTTGCAAAAGCATGCATTTGCAGCGTTCCTAGGCTTCCCTGAGGACGAAATGAGGCAGTGCTGGGGCAGAATGTATATATAGTCAAAACGGCAGAGGCTAAGGCTACTGTCGAGGGCCGGAGGCCAACCTACCCGGCGAAGGTACAATGGCTAAGAAACAGGTTGACCCTTTACCAGAAAGTAGAATTAAACAACCAATGTATTACACATTCGTTGTTAGGAGTCGCGCATTTGTAGTCTTTCCAATATGTCAAGCATGTGTAGCTGAATCAGATGACGATAATAAGGGTTTTGTGACACGCTTATCAATCATCACAAACTCGCACTTATTTGCTTAGTCTGTTTCTTAAAATTATGTAGCAGTTTTGAATGCCTTGAACCAATTGGTAAACAGTAGTTGCTGCTAGAGTTTTGGTGGCTTTGAATAACTAGTAATTATGGCAGGTGTCGAGAAGGCTTTACTTGCGCTTCGGAATTATCCGAGGGTTTCCGCCTATAACGTTAAGGATCTTCCTTACAGCAAATTACCCGTGGGTTACTGGTAGTGAAATGTATTTCGGCGCCAATAATCAATAGATTCTGGTCATCTACTGTCTTCATGTTGTCAATCTCACGTGTTTTTGCACCTCATTACCTCCTTCATTATATTTGACACTCACTTCTCCTACGTATTTGAGTTGTCAATAGATGAGTGATATCTTTTCTTAATTTAAGTGTTTGTTGTAGCCAAATGGACGGTTTGTTTAGTGTTGCGGTTCTGGTAAAGTGTTCTCGAACTGTTAAATATCACTGTCGTTAGGTTCTTTTTCTCCTGGATTTATAATGATTCTTTGGTGTGGATTCATCTGCACTAAAATCTATTTTCTCTACTGCAGTAATTTCTGATCTGTATTGTTATTACGTTCGAATACTTTATCAACACGTTACTGAAACAGATTTATTAGACAAATCTTTGATGGAATGTATGTGCCCCTTTTTTCTTGTCACTGATCGATGATCACCAATATTTTTGGCTACCATTCTAATAGCACTAAGTATTCTGCATGTGTATCGATGTTCTCAGTTCTGTTACTTGTTATTTGGCTTAATAATGACGTCTTATTTAGAAATACCATGGGCTTCAACGTAAGAAGCGTGGTCTCGGTCACCGAGGCATGAGTCAGTTTCAGTGCTGGCAACCTCTTGGCACTCTTAGAGATCGAACACCGTTCTATATAACTGTACCCAAGGAGCCTTACAACGAAAATCACTTGTATTTGCCTTCGTTTTACTCATAAAATCTCTTCTCTAAGGTCTCGACGCCCTTTGGCTCGTCTTTCACTTCTCGACCTGCAGCGCTTGATTGATTTGTCTCGTATTGATCCCAATCACCCAATCGATATATCGACAATATGTAACACTGGCCTCTTCCACTTGGATGCAGACAATGAGCGGCACTACGGATTTCACTTGACGGAAGAGGTGAGTCTCAAAGGCCATTTTTCTCTTACCTCTTAGGGCGTGGATGCGTTCGTGACTCCGGTAAATATTGAAGTGCAGTACGCCAGTGAATTAGTTATTGCAGCCGTGGAGAGGGTCGGAGGTGCCATCACAACTCGATACTACGATCTACTTTCGGTGTTTGCCAAGGCTGATCCTTACGCTTTTTTTGAGAAAGGTCTTCCTATACCGCGTGGCAAGAAACCTCCACTTGTAAATCATTGTCGTGTTTCTTCTTTCAGCATTCATTCTTTCACGCCCGTAGTTTGCCTTAAACAAATGGGGTGTTTAAGAACCGACCCACAAACTGGCTCGTTTTTATTGTAGTATTATCTGCGGTTTATTAAGAGCTTTTTTGGATGTGGCTTACCCGTGTTTAAATGGTTTTAACTGCACGGGGAACCGTAATTCTTTTTTGAGAATAGACATTGACACTGTTTTATATTTTAAATACTTTTAAGAAAAAAGTTGCTAAGTTTATTTGGTCCATTGGTTTTTCTATTGCGTTCTGCATTTAAAAAGCAGAAATAAATACTACCATCAGCCTTTGCAGTCTTTTCTACTCACAGGTATAGGCTTAGTATCAATCTACGGGGACATAATTCCTATGGCAAGCTTTCAGTAGTACCGTTGGCGTATTCCAATTGTGTTTATTTGTATGTAATTTTACTGCTTTAAAATTCGGTAAAATAATTCTTAAACGGTAGCAGTGTCATCTCAGTGTATCAACGAACTTAGCAAATATCCGTATTCTTAGCAGTAATTCACAATATTTTGAAGTTGCTGCCTCTTCTATTCATATCATTGTTTAATTATTCCGACACTACTCAATGCTATTGAATTAATTCAATCACACTAGGACGCTCTCGAGTACTACACAAGTAGTGCCAACCGCGGCTATCTGGCTAGTCCGGAGGAGATTGCGGATGCACGTGTTTGGCTGGCCCAAAAGTACGGCTACGCTCCGGTGGACATTGCCTCCAGTCCGCATAAGGACCTTCTTTCCATTCGAAAGGAGCCCTGGCGCATCTTTCATGGACTCGAACCCGGCTGGCTTGTCAGTCTGGCAGACAAGGCAGTCATCAAACCGATTGATAGCCCTCAACACGAAAATTTCTATAAGAATTAACATCTGAACCTTCTGTACATAGTACGTTAATGCTTTTAGGCCAATTGAATCGTGTTACAACACTGCCGATTATCTAAGACCGTTTTTAGCCGTGATGTTGCCCTTGTTTTTTTATGGGGATACATCATAGTTTCTGGATAAGCACTTTTTGACAACTAGGCGTAAAGTGAATGCTGTCCTCATCGTTGAGCATCTGCTCTTAACAATCGTCTAAATTTCTGAGTGGGTTATGAATCATTGTTGGCGTTTAAGATTTCTATCTCTTAAATTTATGCAAATTTTCTACATGTCGTGTTTTTTCCAAAAAAAAGAACATTCTGGATTCAATATTATAGGAATGGGCAATCTCCTTCTAGGGTGCTATATCCATCGTACCTCCTCACTGTTTCTAGCTGGTTTAGCGAATACCTTCGAAGGTTGCAAATGGTCACGGTGAATACATGCTACTCCTCATTTGTGCACCCACTCTTGCCGCTGTGAGGACATCCAGCGGCATTGAGGGTTACGAAGAGGAAGCTTGGGGTGCTGGCGTATGCAGGTTCTACTTAAAAGCTCTGTAATGCCGATCCGGAGTGTGATACGGTCTCGTCCGACTATATTCCGTGGATGCTGTTCTTGTTAAATAGAACGATACGGGTATTCTAATCTGACAGAGGGTGAACTAGATCGTGATTAACTAGTGCCGCGTCTATTGAGCACCATGCATACGATGGAATAGTTTGTTCAAGCCCCAGCTTTCATTAATGTGGTTCGCAGTACGATGCAAACATATCTCGTTTTGCCTCTGCTATTGGGACTGAGGCGGCACCATTGAAGTGTCTTACCTGCACCTCAATGTGCTCTTGAAAATTATTTCTTTGCACAGATGCTGTGAATAACGTAGATACCTGTTTTGGAGTCATCTCTCCGTACTTGGCCATCTACTGGTTTTTTCACCTGATTATCAGTCTCTCCGACTTCTGCCACCTCTTTGGGATGGCTTTTGAGTTTCAAGTGATTGTGACCGTGCTAATTGCACGAGACACTTAAGTTGTCAGTCTCTCGCATGTCCAAGTGTCTTCCAGTGGTGAGTTTTGACTGAGGGTTGACCCTATTTCGGGATTCGTTTTTTGCCTGAGGACTTGCTAACTATATTTGGCGCCGCTGCTCTGCTTTCGAACTCCTACTGTACGTAGCTGTTTCGTTAACAGCTCTTCTATCTCATCTCAAATTTTCCATCTAATAATACATTTGCGCGTCTTCTAGCAGCCGTTTGTTTCGGTAATAATTTAAGTAATTGATGAATTAATGCACGGACTTTCTTCGTGTCAAAATTTTAACACCTTTTTTATGATAATCTGAAAGCTAGGCAGTAAAATAGGTTCGGAGGACTCGCATTGTCCAGTGGTGATTAATGTAACCAACCTTCCACTGATATTTGTTTATGCATTGCTGGAATGCCACTTTTTACCGGCTCCAATCTCCGACCGCTGTTTTTACTTGTAGTATCCCCCATTTAACCATTTTCATTGCCAATAAAATACCAATTTTTTACCTAGATGCTAATGCAAGCGGACCATTGTGGTACTTGTTCTTACTAGGGCACTAATCAAATTCTCACTTTCGCATAGACCCTAGGAACCCACCTTAGCCAAGGGTTATTCAGTGTATGCGTAATTTTTCGGGCAATTTGTGTCGTGGAAATTGATCAATAGGCACTTTTCAGTGCCCATCCTGCATTGTGACTGTACTGATATTTATGACCAATCAAGGGAGAGGGTGGATATAATAGCTGTTGCGAAAAAAACCGAATGGTTCATCCAGCACTGGATTCCTTTAACATTTTCTTTCATCGACGGACATTCATTGCGTACGTTCCAGCCTAGTAGTACTGTCACATGACTTCGAATGTTGCCCTATCTTGCCTGTCCTCTGAGTCTGAGTTATTCATACGCGGATTCATTTCACAGTCAGCGTCAGACGGCCTGGGGGGTGTTTCGTCCGTCATGGCCTTTTGTTTAGCCCACACAGAGGTTTCAATTCCCATCGTCTGACTGTTTAACATCGCTAAGAGATAATATTTATGTTCAATAACAGAAGCGATTTGAAACACGTTACAAGAAATTATCCATTTCTTCTTGATAGTTCTCGGGCTTATTTAGGTCGGCATACGAAATGTTCACAGCAAATAGCCGTTCACTTAAGCAAGGCATCACTTTTGAAAATGAAATGTGCTTTACTGAAATGTCCCAGAATCTCAGTTAAGTTGGCCTGTGGTGTAAGGAAAAAATGTTTACCTTCATCAAGTTATCCTTCTAATTTGGAGCCTTTAATTTTTTTGATTTTACATCTATCTGTCTACCAGATAATATCACTTCCTAATTATCTTGTTAGGCACAATAATGTTGCTTTTGACTTAAAATTTTCTGTCCTGAAGACATCGGTAAAAGGAATGATTTCGCTTAAAACCTATCCACATAATTGGATACAACTCCGGAAAAACTAATCTTGAATATCGCCAGCGCAATAGATAGCGTTTAAATTAAGAAACTAAACATTTTAAGGAACTGCGTTTCGAATGGCAATCTTTGAGGTTTAAGCGAACCAACGTCTAGAATTGTTTTACGCGTGGTAGATGGTGGCTTCCTAACTGCGTTAGTCTGCACACAGTGGGAATACATCTGAAAGCTTTGTAATGTTTTTGTTTATGCCATACAAGTTCCTTTGCCCTCATGAAGGCAGTAAAATTACTCTCTAAAGAATGCCACCTGCATTTCCCATGAACCAAAGAATGCAAAGATGCTTAACGAGGTGTTCCATCTGAACAGAAATATTACCTTATGCGCCTTTAAATGTAGGTGTAGTACAAATATGTAAATTTGCTACTATAAAATAAAATTAATTTACAACACTAAAATAAACATACACGCAAGGGTAGAAAATATGGTGTTAGATTAGAGGAAATGACTGGATTGCGACTAATAAACGGCACTTGACGTGGATGGAATCACTGTATTGGCGTTATGCGTAGCCATCTCGTATCTTTGAAGGGTCTTTCTCCTTCCCAGTGAGGGTGCTCTCAGACCGAGGGAGCGCCAGCAAGCCCTTCTTAGGCCCCTGTCCATTAGAAGAAGAGCTATTGGCAGAAGCAGCCCTATGCTGGCGTACACCCACCACCGGAAGTCCGCCAACCGCGAGGCAGCCACCTGGATAAAGCACTGAGCTGGACGATACTTGGACAGGTCAACACCTGGAATGTGGTAGAGGGGCTGCTCCATAAAGCGCGAGTTCTCTGATGTGTGGCAAAGTCCGTAAGCCAGACTGGAGAGAATGAGTGGTGACCAGACACCGACTGCGACTATGCACGAGACCATGTTTACTGCCACTGCTAGTTGCTCCCCGCGGTACGTTTGTAACCACCGGCTCACCAATACCACATTAGACCTGTCCTGAACAGTGCGTTTTTCCTGGTATCCACCCCGGAAGTCATCAAACATCACCGCCTCTGGATCGTAAGCGATTCTGCCGTGCCTGGGACACTCATGAACTGTTTCTATGGCGCCAGTGGAGTTTGGCTTCACTGTTTCGGTGAGTGGAGCAAGGGTCTCTAGAGTGACGTCTCTTGGAATGGGTGGATTCGTGCTCGATTCTAGAGGGTATTCAGGTGGGACGAATCTTAGTCGACGCAGGCAACGCACTTGAAGACCCGTGAGTATGAGGCAACCAGTGAGGGGCAACGCGTATGCGACTGAGGTGCGCAGTATGAGGAAACTAGGATCAGTAACTATGCAGGTAGACTCTAGTTGGTTGGTAAATGCGGAGAGGAACTGGCGTTGGCAGTCTTTCGAAAGGTAGGCTAGACCGCGATCGCTGACGGCGAGTTGAGCAATGGCCAGGAGGCCGGAAACGAACCATGGCGAACTAATTTTAAGCCAAAGTGTTGCATGTCTTCCAGACTTCAAGCTAACAGTCTCAGTATTCCTTCTTCGGCAGGAGAGGCGGAGATAGGAGTCAAGACCGGAACAAAAGGCATGCAGCAGCGCCAAATTGCAGAACAATGTATCAAGGTAAGTTGAGAAGAGACAGAATATTTCCAGGTAAGAGTTCATACTAGTTGACCCTGTGTGAATAAAAATAACTTACCGGATAAGTATCTGGGAGAGTTATCAGTATGTCCACATCATTAAACGAACCCTCATCACCTGGTATTCCAGGCATAAATGCATGGATTTTAATTAATTACTAAGTGTCCTGAGTGATGAGCATACCTAGACGTGAGATCAAAATGCAGGTCTCTATAAAATCCCGGTTATCTAAGTCAAATTGTGAATTTATTTTGTGTCCTTGTCTGTAATTTCGAATGAATACAGGTAAACATGGATATTATGCTTATTCAGTTTAGGTTAAGCGGCAATGGAAGGGCGTTATAAGCACTTTGCATAGTATAACTTAATAATGATAGGCAATTTGAAAGGATAGTATGTTTAAATGCCTATCTGCCATCAGTCTCGCAGATATTCTCTTGACACCACTTTAATAATTTCGCAAAAAATTGCTGCATTGCAAGGCTTAAAAATTTGAATTTTGTACTATGTCATGCTCCTACCTTTCCTAAACTTGTCGGTAGAGCAGGCTTTGGTAAATTTCTATGTGAAGAGTTGTTAAAAAAGCCATTTTTAACCCTGCTAAGGATACTCTCTTACCACACACATTTTTCACATACACAACCGCTTGTTGTAAAAAGCAACACGGGGCACTTGCCTAGTTTTCTTAAATTCTAATGACGAATTCACTAATAAAGTGGTGCACGTTAACCAAAATTGCTGCCAGGATGCTCGCAAACGGTCACGTCATCAGCAATTCATAGTATTCCTGGTCCCTTTTAATTAAACCAGTACTTGTTAAATATACTTTATAGAAGGACGGATCAACTTTACTGCAGTTTTATTCAGAGCAAGTGGTTATTATTTATTTGCGCCTTTTTTATTTTGCGGAACTTGGGCTTCTCAATTTGATAGGAAGTTGAAGAAATTATTTTAAATGCGTGAAATTCGGGGCCTGACGGGAGCGAGATACCGAATGCAGGCCGAAACAAATGCAGATTAATTAGAGAACAAAATAAAGAAGTGGTGAGTCTTGAGAAACCTTTGGGTGATTGCTGCTGACTTTGTGAACTTAAGGTAAGAATAAGAACTCCAGCCATCACTACCGAAAGGCGGTTGATGACGTTAAATTGACTAAGCTTGCTGGCTAAAGCTAATCTCACGCAATTTCCAAGCGCTATGCCATAGTCGTGGACGTGATTAGTTTCTCCACCATAGCGTTCTGTCAGCCATCTTTACACTATAGCTTCTTAAATAAGGTGCTTTTTAAGTTTACCCTACAAGTCTAAATGCAGTTGTTGTCTATAATAGTGCTATCTTCTCAAAGAGCAGATCTGGTGGTTGATTATGTGACTTCCACGCCATAGGGTGTGTTCTTATAAAGCAATCAAATTGATAAGTGAAGTTCCTGCAAAATATC